AAAGAAAAGAAAAGAAAAGAAAAGAAAAAGAAAAAGAAAAAAAGAAAGTATACAATATTTTTGAGGCCAAGTGAAGGAAAAGAGAATCCCCTAGAATTTAGAGAAACTATATCTGGAACAATCTGACATTGTTGAGTGCAGGATGTAACTATGAGGAAAACCAATATTGAATATTTTGCAGGCTATGGTGTCAAATTATAAACTGTGCCCTCTTGGATATAAACATTTTTTTTTCTTTTTTTCCCTTGTGCATGGCATGTTACATGGCAAGTTCTTTCTTCTTTTCCCTTTCCCCTGCTGATTTAAGTGATCTGTTGAACATTAACAAACACAGTGTGTTTTGAAAAAGCCTCTCCTAAATCTTTTTTGAAGGTGAACTTTTATTTTTTTTAATACAATATATTGTCAAATAGGCTTACATACAACACCCAGTGATCATCCCAACAAGTGCCCTCCTCATGCCCATCCCATTTTCCCCTCCCCCCCCACCCCCCATCCACCCTCAGTTTGTTGTCTGTATTTAAGAGTCTCTTGTGGTTTGCCTCCCTCCCTTTCTGTTTGTAACTATTTTTTCCCCTTCCCTCCTGCCATGGACTTCTGTTAAGTTTCTCAAGATCCACATATGAGTGAAAACATATGATGTATGTCCTTCTCTGACTGACTTATTTCACTCAGCATAATACCTTCCAGTTCCATCCGCGTTGCTGCAAATGGCATGATTTCATTCTTTCTCATTGCCAAGTAGTATTGCATTGTATATATAAACCACATCTTCTTTATCCATTCATCAGTTGATGGACATTTGAAGCTCTCCTATATCCTAAGGCAAGTCCACTTTCTCCACTCTGTGGAAATAGTGATGTTCTGATGAGAAACTTTGGATCAAATTTTCCTCCCCCATCCTCCACCAGACAACCATGAATAAATATTGTAACTGAAAACTAGAACAAATGGAAATATGCTACCAGTCTCAACAGAAAATACAGAAAGAACCCTATTAAACATAAAATCTGGATCAATGTGAACATGTTCAAAGGCTCAGGTTTTAGCAAAACTTCTGTGGTTGTCGGAGAGTTTCCTTTTTAATGGTTATTTTAACTAAAATGGACTGAGTATTTCTACTGCAAAATGTTTATAAGTAAACTTTATACAGAGAGGTTCTTGCATTGTAGTAAACCAGAATCAGGATATTGTGAAATGAATGTCTAATTTGAAAAAGGATTTGTCTTTTGAAGACAGGAACAGTAACTGTAGTAGGTTTTAAAAGCACTGGCAGTTTGTTCTGGGTACCAGAGAAAGATGGTCAAAGTGAGTCAAGTGGAGGTCTGCTAGCTTTGACCCAGTCCAAACTTTCCATTTTCTTTCCTTTCGGGGTCTTTGCTGAAATACAGAATAAGTTGGCCCCTTTCTCTGAATTTCAGATTTGTCCCATAATGACCAAAGAAACAAAGGAAGAGGCTTGGGAGAAAAGTTGCCAAGTGCCAACGGGTAGACATTTATTGAGAAAGCCTTAAGCAGGAAGTTCATAATGTATTTACAGCATTCAGCCTGACGGGGAGATTCTACATTATTCTCGTTGCCAGATAAAACTCTGAAGACTGTTAGGTTAAACTGACATGAAATGGAGGCAATATGGGACTTCTGAAAGGACAATGCTCTGTGTGCCCTAGGGAAACCTAGTACTGTGTTTGTGAACATCCCAAGTTTGTAGTATTGGAGACCACCATCAGACATTAAGACTTATAAAGGAAGGTATTCAGGAAGTTAAAAAGAAATGTTACCATGAGTTTACATCCAGTTTCCTAAAGAGCCAGAGTCTGGTGCCTCCAATCACTCCATCTGTTTCTCACTGAAATGAAAAGAATTAGTTTCTAAAATCTACTTCAAAAGATGTATGTCCTGCTCTCTGAAGACGCACACACACACACACACACACACACACACACACACACACAGTCCAGAGCTCCTGGTGGAGAAATTGCTATATAACTGGCTATTGAGAAATACATTTAGGGGGTGCCTGAGTGGCTCAGTTGGTGAAGCATCTGACTTCGGCTCAGGTAATGATCTCACAGTTTGTGGGTTCAAGCCCCATGTGGGGCTCCATGCTGACAGCTCAGAGCCTGGAGCCTGTTTTGGATTCTGTATCTCCCTCTCTCTCTGCCTCTACCCTGCTCACACTCTGTTTCTCTCTTTAACTTTTTTAATTAAAAAAAAGAGAAAGACATTTAAGAGACAGTTTTTGATGGGAAATTATCCATCACAATTATCCATCACAAGCTGCTGGCCTTTAAGAATTTTGTCCTGCCTTGTGGCTTTGGCCTATTAGTGAAAGAGATCCACAATAATCCTACTGGTAAATTACTAAAATTGTGGAAAAAAATGACACTGATTCAGCATCAGAAATATTTTTTTTTTAATTTAAATGTTTATTTTTGGGAGAGAGAGACAGAGGGTGAGTGGGGGAGGGGCAGAGAGAGAAGAAGACACAGAATCCAAAGCAAGTTCCAGGCCCTGAGCTGTCAGCACAGAGCCCAATGCAGGGCTTGAACCTACAAACTGTGAGATCTTGACCTGAGCAGAAGTCGGACACTCAACCGGCTGAGCCACCCAGGTGCCCCAACATCAGAAATATTTTTTAAGTGGCTGCAGGGCAAAACTTCTGGCAAACACTGAATTGGCCTGTATTTTGTACAAAATACAAAGCACAGAAGCAAGAGAAGGAACTCTAAAATAAAGATGAAACTCTTGCCACTGACATTGTATTATTAAAGGCCTGGGCCCAAGATGACATCAGGTGTATCCCTGTAGATTAGGTTAGCTGACACAGGACAAAATAAAAATCCTGGTTTCCCAAAAGATCTATGATGAATGATTCACAGAACCATGCTGTTGATGCTATGATAAGACCAGTGGCTATCTTTGACAGGTTAGAAACCCTGGAGGTAAATGGGTACACAAATAAATGGACCATGAAGAAGGGGACACGGTCTCTGCTTAAGCATGGGTACAGGACGTTCTGGCAGTCAGTCTCCACCTCTGTCCAACCAGCCCACAAGTGTGAGAAACTGGCACTGCCCACCATTGGGCGTTTACACTGGGTCACTACCCACTTACCAGGACTGAAGGTTCTTTCAGCTGTTGATAGCTACGCAGGTTATAAAGTCAATATCCTGGCAATAAAAGTAGCCAGCTCAGGATCGAGAGTTGGGTGTTTTTCAACACACTATTCAGAGACAAGTCCAGTATCTCTGGCCCAAAAGTGTGTTTTGATCTGATTGTAAAAATGACCCTGTAGCTTTCCTACTAACCCCCAGAACTGAAGGATACAAGGGTGGAATAGTCTCATTTCCCAGCTCAGGACCCACACTAACCCTTAATTTTTACTAAATGACTTACAGCCCTATTATAAGCATTTATCTTGTCGATAGTCGTGCCCCTTACTGTGTTGTGTCCCCCATTACAAGTCTGGTGGTGAACAAAGCAAAGGGGTATATTAAGATGATGGGGTATGGATAACTGTCTAGTCAACATATGATCTGCATCCCCAGGTATATTTGTAATTTGGCAATGCTCAACATTATGAGACCTGAAAGATGGTCTGAGCCTTTCTTTTTCAAATTACAAGTGGGGAAACAGAAGAGCTCCATTATTGATTCAAATTGGAGAAAACAAAGTTCACTGGGAAGAGCCCTCAAAGAGATATTTTTTCAAAGTGAAAATGTTTCCTTTAATATGAAACTGTGCATTGTTCGCAAATGCCTCGTTTAAAACAGTGAGTGGAGGACAGTTTTTGAAACCCCAAGTAATAAAATGTATTTAATTATCTGAGAAAGTAAAAAAGCTAATTGAAAACTATTATGTACAAACTTTAAAAAATATTCAAAAGCATTTTGGATACCAGTAAGAGTTTCAAATGGAATATTTTATTGACATGTTAGTTGTCTTTTTAACATGTACACACACACTGACACACTCTGATCTGTGTGGAACAAAGGTTGACTAAATATCCTAAGGGAAAATGAAAAATTAAAAAATATATTAATTTTTCATTGTTATAGACAATTACACCCACATCACCTACAAAGCTATTACTGGTTCTGTCCAAGGAAGCAAAATGGCAAAAGAGGAAAGTTGTGGGTAATTCAATAGTGACATAACTGAAATCTCAACATGAGAAAGGTGACAAAACATGAATTTTTGCTGTGAAATTTCTTTGCAAAATATGAAGAAAAGTCTGTCAGTGGGCAGTAAATAAGAGAAGATGGTGAACTTCTTTAGTCAATTCTCACAGTATTGTGCAGGGGCATCAAGAAAACTGCTCAGTCCTTCTCTGGGACCAGTTTCAGAACTTTTCCAATCGCAATGGTCTTACCCTCATCTCTTAAAGTAAAACGACCCATCTGAGGAAAATCCTTGAATGTTTCGAGGCAGATAGTTCCTGCTGTCCTTAAACGGGCAATGCACACTTGATCTTGTTTCACAAAGCGGGGTCGTGTCTTACTTTTCTCTCCTGATTTTTTGTCTACCAAGGAGATTAAGGCTGTTATCTCAACTTCCTCAATACAAGTATGAATGTGCAGCACCGCATTATAGCCTGGGCAGATGATAGACTTGTGCTCAATAATCACTATCTGAACATCAAATGTGCGTCCAGAATGGCACAGATTATTAGGGTCACAAAGTATGAATCCAGGAAGAATCTCTTCTTCTTCAATTCCCTTCAGTCTGATTTTAAGGTTTTCACCTGGGGCTACATAATCAGTTTCAGCATCATCAGAAAGAATTCCAAGAACTTCCACATTGTGCTTGTTCGGCATCATCACAAGCTGCTGGCCTTTAAAAATGGATCCTGATTCCAGCTTTCCCAGGACCACAGTACCCATATCCTTGTACTTATCCACAATTGGCAGTCTAATTGGTCCATCAATTGATCTGTTGAAGTTTGGCATATTATCCAAATATGGAATAAATGGTAATCCAGTGTACCAAGGGCAAAAATCTGATTGCTCTTTAATATTTGCCCCAGTCAGCCCTGAGCAGGGCATAAAGTGAATGTCCTTTTTGGGACTAAAGCCGACTTTTTTCAAAAAGGGCACCAGTTTTTCTTTACATTCTTCGTATCTCTCACTGCTCCAATTTACTGTGGGATCATCCATCTTATTGATAAGCACTACTAAATGTTTTACCCCTGCTGTTTTTGCCAACATCGCATGTTCTCTTGTCTGTCCACCTTTCTCAAATCCAGTTTCAAATTCTCCTTTCCTGGCAGAGATTACCAGTACAGCCAAATCAGCTTGAGAAGCACCACCAATCATATTTGGGACAAAACTCTTGTGGCCAGGAGCATCTAAAATGGTGAAATGTTTCTTTTCTGTTTCAAAATAGGCACGACCCACTTCTACTGTTTTACCCTTGTCTCGTTCTTCCTGATTTGTATCTAAGGCCCAGGACAAATACCAAGTTTCTCTGTTTTTTTCTTTAGCTTCTCTCTCATATTTCTCAAGTGTCCTTTTGTCAACCATTCCTGTCAAAAACATAATTTGTCCTCCAATGGTTGACTTTCCAGCATCTACATGCCCAATGAATACCACATTTACGTGTTCTTTTTTAGGAGCACCTGAGGGCATAACCACAGATTTAGTTTTTCTCACTTCCTCTTTCTCCATCATTTCTTGGCCACTCTCTTCTGGGGGCCCTGAATCTCCCAAGGAACTACCCCCTGGCTCAGCTTCACTTACTTCTTTATTGTGCTCCCATGATTCTTCTAGAACCATTTCCACCTCTCCATTTTCTACAACAGGTTCTGAAAGTTCCATAGTAATGGCTGAATTGGAACCTTCACGCCACACTAACTGTTCCTCTTTGGAATGTTCCACAGGTGCCTCCCGTCCCAGCCTTTTACCTTGAGGGTCGCCCGCACCGGTGCAGGTTTCATCGATGCTGGTGATGTCGGCCAGGGGGGTCTGCGGCTGGGCTGGGCCCCGCAGAAAGGACGGCACGAACTCCGCGGCGTGTACATTAGGCACGAAGGGTTTGGCGTTGACGTTGAGCTGACGGCTGAATGCCGAGCTGAGATGCTCCCGTTGGGCCTCGGCCACCGCGGAGGAGGCTCCGTCTCCGCTTGGGGCCAAACCCGGGGTTTCCATGTCCACCTGGTCCCAGCAGTCGGGCGCGGAATCGCTGCTGCTGCTGCCCAGATCCATGGTCTGAGGACCTGATGGGTGGCGGGGAGGGAGTGGGATTAACACGCCAGAAAGAGCGGGCTACGCCGCCAGGGGTAAGGCTGCAAGAGCGAAGGGGCAAGGGGGAGCGACACGAACCTTAGCGGCAGCGCGGCAGCAGCTAAGTCCCAACACTGCATTCGCAACTGCGGCAGCAGCAGCAGATATGGCGGCTCAACCCTCTCCTCTTGTGTGTGAGCGGATCTCCTCCCCCAAACCCCAACCACTTCCGACTCCTCCACAGCCGACCCAACGCGGGGCGTGGATTGACCCCTCGCTGCCATCCGTACGCTGGGCCTGCTTAGTTCTCAGCCATGGACTAAGTCCGAAAGTAGGATTTGTAAAACGAAATTTTCCATTCATTTTTGTTCACAGGATCTGGGAGAGCAATTTGACAGTGTAATAATTAAACCTAGACTGGCACGGCTGATTTACAATTCTACTCAAAGATTCAAGTAAAAATGAGAATTGCTATTGGACAAATGGAGGCAGGAGATGGGTTAACTACCCAGAAACCCAGCAACCAAAGGAAGAAATTACTGACTAGAGAGGCACTCATGAAATACATGAAGATGTAGTTGAACCCAGGAAATGTAACTTGAAATCACTCATTTAATTTGAAACCCAGAGGCTTTTTGATTTTCCCTCATCCAGAGGACCCCATAAGCCTGTAACTTTTGTTGATGACTTCTGTGGTGTAAGGATGGGGTTATAACTTGTTTTCATGTTAAGTACTCTGACTGTGTCCATGAAAGGAATTGCCAAGGAGAACGTTGTCCCACTGAACCTGCCCAACTTACAGTATTTGTGCTGGTGCCTGAACAATGGCTAGCCCAAAATGCTGTGATGGATCACATAGACAGGCACTCGCCCCAGATCACTTGTATTCTTCTAACCAATTTATATTCTGAGTATTCCTGCCTCGCTCACCAGCACCTCCTCAGAATACACCCCGGGTCCTCAGTATTTCCTGTCCCATTCTGGAGGCTTAGAACCCTATTCACTGCTCATACTTCTGGCACTGGGTTTGTCTAAGGACAAATCAGTGTCATGTTGGAACCTTCCCCAGTTAGTGGTAATGACAGGGTGTGTGGATGTCAGCCTATTTAAACTGATTAAGACCTCTGAGATGAACAAAGTCCATAGATACTAATCAATAGAATCTCACTTTCAGAAAGACTTTATAATATTTGACCCAAAGCTTACAAGAGTTAGTCTGTAAATTATTTTAATTTAGATCAAACTGAAATAGAAAAAAAGATACAGTTTGCTAGTACAAGATGAGGTCATAAAGTTGGATATTAAATAAATCCAACAAGTCAAAATACTTGAAAAATTGGTCACTGGTTTATAACTTAACAATTTTGTTCTCCAGACTTTAGGAGTAGAAAAAATGTTCTATGTCTAATAGACCTGGATGTTTATGGTTTCAGTCTGAGGCTGCCACTATTTCACTACTTCTGTGCTATTTCCAAGCCATTAGATATCAAACCCCTTCATTGTTTTTTGCCTCTGGTAATGGCTTAATTATTTGTTGTCACATAAAAAGAATGTGCATGCTTATTCACAATGAATAGTAAGAATTGAGAGTTTGAATGTGCAGAAACCCTTGGACAATACTGCATACATATGCTGGAGCCTTTCTCCAGCATTCTATAAACCTAGGATAGACTTTCTAAAATGTCTCTGAGAGAGCTTATCAAGGGATAGGCAGTTGTGTTCACATAAGGTTAGTATTAGCAAGGAATCAGGACAGACCTGGGATGTTTCCTTTGCCTAGGTCAATTGCATTGATCATGAGAATGCTAATACGACTGCTACTTAGAACAGAGGATGCTTCACTTTTAAAACCTTAAAGAAGAAATGAGAAACAGTGAGAGAATGTCCTGACAAGCCCACACCCTTGGGGTTTAGGGGGAGGCAGGTCCACCCAAGAGAGAGAAACATTGACAGGGCTATATAGACAGAAACTAATTTTGGACAAAATTCATTTAGTTTGTGTGATGGGGTGAATGTCTCAAGATTATCTACTTAGAACTTTGAAAGAGTGTATCAATAAATGAGAGAATTGTCTTCACCAAAGTTTTTTTTTTAAGTGTACGCAATATTTGGCCATTGCCTAATCATTTCTTCTTAATTGTTTTTTGTGAAATATAATACAAATATAGAAAATTGCATAACAAAAAATTATTGTTTATTGACTTAGAAGGAAAACACATGTGGGGCACCTGTGTGGCTCAGTCGATTAAGCGTTCAATTCTTGATTTCAACTCAGGTCATGATCTCATGGTTAGTGAGTTCAAGCCCTGAGTTGGGCTCCATGCTGACAACACAGAACCTGCTTAGAATTTTCTCTCTCCCTCCCTCAATGCCTCTCTTCCCTGGCTGTCAAAATAAATAAATACACTTTTTTGTTTTAAATAAGGGAAACACACTTGTAACCACCACACAAATCAATAATTAGAAATTTGCTGGTCAACCCAAAAGACTTTTCAGTACCCTCTCCAGTCACAACCTACTCCCGCTAACCTTAAATGTAACCACTATCATGACATTTATGGTTTAGCCATGATTTCCTGTATAGCTTTATCACATTAAAGGGAAAATGAATGATGTGAATTGTGGAATTTTCTGCATTCTTGAGTTTGCTGATTGTATTTCTGTAGTATAGTTTAGAATATTTTTCTATTTCTTGTATATCAATAATTGGATCTATGAGCTTGATCAGAGATAGGTGCAATTTTTTTCGCATTTTGAGTATTTTCAAAACATTTCACATAAGATCAGGTTGTTTTACAGTTAGAAGGAATTAATTATGATTGTGTAGAAACATGTCATTAGAGGTTGCAAAATGTGATACTGTACTTCTGTCATTTCTTTTTTTAATGTTTATTATTTTTGAGAGAGACACAGTGCAAACGGGGGAGAGGCAGAGACAGAGAGAAGGAGACACAGAATCTGAAGCAGGCTCCAGGCTCCGAGCTCTCAGCTACAGAGCCCAACCCTGGGCTCGAACCCATGAGCTGTGAGATCATGACCTGAGCCCAAGTCGGATGCTTAACCAACTGAGCCACCCAGGTGCCTTTTTTCTTTATTAACTGTAATGCAGTTTTAAAACAATTTTCCTTCATCAACAATTTTGTTACTCTGAGGTATGAATTGTAACAGAAACACATGGAAGTGATTGATTATTTCTATTTATTTGAGTTTTCAAAACAATGACTTGGTTGCCTATAATTGTTCACAGATGACAAATAAGGATATTCCAAAAGAATAATTATGAATTATTGGATTTATATATATTTGATGTGTTTTGAACATTTCCTTACTATACTTATTGATGTTAAGATTGTCCTTCATTGGCCAGTGGAAGCCACTTCAGGATGAGTTCTGAATCGTTTTGAGACTATGCTAGTAGTCCTTGATGGTTTATTCATTATCTGGTATGACAAAATGTACCAGCTCAATTTTATACATTTCTATTAAACCAGGAATACTCGTTCTCAATGAGAACAGGGGATAATAAAATTAGAAAATAAAATAATTACTCATATGACTTATACTATCCATACATATAGTAGTGTCAGTACTACCAGAACTAATATGATAGAGAAAACAGATTTTTTCATATGTTCTCCATGTTATCATCCAGTACATTATAGTTAAACTACATCTATCTTATAATAATTCACTTTTGTTGAGTGTTTTTTAGTAGCAGGTCATATTTCAATTATTTTCTATGGATTCTCTCATTTTGTTTTCCCTACCATTCTGTGAAGAAGGTAATCTATCACTCTTTTATAGATAAGAAATGGATGTTTAGAGGCGCTGATTGGACTATCCAAGGTCACATAGCTAGTAAATAGTGGACTTGGAGTTCAAACACGGACAAAAAGATGCTAAGGCCATACTGACTTGTAGCATCTATTATATATTAAGAAAGGAATTGGGAGATTTGGTGGGTGTAAGTCACAAATGGAAGAAGAGGATAAAGTCTTAGGTTATTTATAGAGAACGGAAATATGGATGAACTTGAGAGAAAGGATAATGCAGTTGAGTTCTTTTATGAGGACTTATGTTTTTTTCCTGAAGTAAGAGATGATCCTGTGGAGATTCTGAGGGAAGATTCCAATATTAAAAATGGGGAATGGGGGAAGATACAGAATAGATTTTTGGGGTATAGGTAAGGTGGCTAACTTGGGAGTAGTAACATCTTTTTTTTTTTTTTTTTTAGAATTCCAATTAGGGCACCTGGGTGGTCCAGTCAGTTAAGCATCTGACTCTTGATTTAAGCTCAGGTCATGATCTCAGGGTCGTGGGGTCAAGCCCCATATCAGCTCAGCATGGAGTCTGCTCAGGACTCTCTCTCTCTCTCTCTCTCTCTCTGTGCCTCTCTCCCCCACTCATGAGCTCTCTTTCACTCTCTCTTTCTCTCAAATAAAAAATAAATAAAAATAAAAAAGAATACCAATTAAACAAAAGCAGTTTAGACTGGAAAACATAATACAGTACTCCAGGTTTTGAGATTCCCCTTTCCCCCCAACATATGCTTAGCATAACTGAGCAGGCCGGAGCACAAACAGAGTCTTAAAACTCATCTACAGTCGAGGAATAGTAGTATTAGATGGGCTAAAATAAGAACAGAAAAATATCTAGGAGCTAGTGAACACAGGGTTAAGAAGACTGTGTTGGAAGCCTCATATTTGTTCTCTCAGGATGTCTTTGAGCTCTGTACATAAATTTGACTCTCTATTCTAAGGAAGATGGAAAGCCACTCCACTTCCTAAAGTTTTTGCTACTAAGATTTCAGATGCTCTTTACCTCCTGCCAATCTGACACACACAGATCAGATTTATTTTAAAGCCCATTTAAATGTAGAGAGATGTGGGGTAAGGCAGGCTTGATTTGGAGTTGTGAATCCAGCTGAAGAAGTATCTTCATTGAGCTAACAGTTTGGTAAACTTTCCCGTATCCAGGTAGGC